CTTCCCCAAAGTAGTACAATGTTACTATGGTAACATTGTACTACTTTGGTCATAGTAAAATATATGAAAAAAAATCTTAAAAAAAAAAAAAAAAAAATGTAATAAATTAAAAATAATAATAATAAAAAAATATATATATATTTTTTTTTTTTCATACTGTCACCAGTCAGTGTCCCTGTTCACCGCCATGCCAGTTATATGATGACGCTGTACTGCACTGGTGACAGTATGTAAAAAAAAAAAATAGTGAAAATAATTTTTTTAATTTTTTCATTTTCCGAAAAATTATGACAAAAAAATACAACTTCAAAAAACTCGCCATTCCTCTTATGAAGTACGTCGGACTGTCTACTCTGCAAAAAGGGGTCATTTGGGGGATATCTGTACTATTCTGACATTCTTGGACCTCAAGAAATTAGATTGGCCGTCCGTACTTCAGGATTGATCAATTTTCAGATCTATACCATAGTTTGTAAACGCTATACCTTTCCTACAGACTAAATAATACATCCTAATTTGGGTTTTTTTCACCAAAGACATGTAGCAGAATACATCTCGGCCTAAATTTATGAAAAAACAATTATTTATTTGTAAACTTTTATAACAGAAACAAAGAAAAACGTGTTTTTTTTTTTTGGTCTTTTTTTGTTAATTTAAAATTTTTAAAAACCCCAGCGGTGATTAAATACCACCAAAAAAAAGCTTTTTGTGTGAAGAAAATGATAAAATTTTAGTTTTTAGCAATTGTCAAAAGTGTGAATGAAAAATGGCCCAGGTGTAAAATTGCCCGGTATTGAAATTAAAAGATAATCCTTCTTTTCCATCCACAGTGCCTGTGCATAGAAGAAAGCTGTAAACTAGTTTTGTAGCAGTGAAGAAAATGATGAAAAACTTTTATGTGTCAATATTTCTTTGGGTGCAACCTTTAAGTTGAGCCACTTGACCCGTTTCTGAGAGGGAAAAAAAGACTTGCCGCAAAACCATTCAATTTAAAGTGTGAGAGTCATGAAGGGGGTTGTAAAACGTGAAAAATGGCCTGGGCAGGAAGGTGTAAAGCCAAATTGCCCGGTATTGAAACATTTTTAAAGAGACCCTTGCTAATCCTTCTTTTCCATCTCACAGTTCACCCCATATGTGCATAGAAAGAGAGGCTGTAAACCTCTTTGTTTCCCCTGTAGCAGCTATACAGCAATAGCTAGATGGCAGCTGTGAAATTCTGTGTGATCACTGTTAGTCATGTGTCAATATTTCTTCTAGACAATGTATCATTAGCAGTTGCAGCTTCCAGCATACAGTGTCCAGCCTCCTGGGGTGCTTTTTAAATCCTAAATACAAGCCTAGGCACTTGGAGTAACTTAGCACCAGGAGAAGAGCCAGTTTATGAACCTGGAACTACCCCACAGGTCTGCTTAAAGTTACTATTAGACACCAGATAAACTTGTGTTCGTGATCCCCCACAGAAAAAAAATATTAGTCCTTTTGTTGCCTTCTTTCCTTCAAAAATAACAACTGGCAGCACAGCAAAGATATATAAATGTCAAAAATGTTATTAATTTCAGGTTTGTGAGTACTTTTATGGTGTTATAAATATTTCTCTTTCACATAGTTCATATAAATTAGTCAGCTGGTTTTAAGTTCCTTTAACTGTTTTTTGTATTTTCAATACATTTTTATTTATTAATTTAAAAAGGTGCACAGCAAAAACCAACATCTCTGTAGTAATCAATACAGTTATATGCGTGATAAAATAAAATTAATTTTATATTAAAATTAATTCATAATAACCTTAAAATAAAACAATGTTCATCATCACATAAATGGAGAAATATCAATAACAAATAACTAACTTGTGCATAATAAAAGGGGTAAATTTCAAGGAAAAAATAAAAGTCCAAATGTGAAATCTTGAAAATGATGAGAATCCACATGTAAGAATCCCCAACCACCTCACAGATAAGTGTGCCAGTTCCCTTACCAAATGGTAATGATCCCCAATTGATAAGAGATCAACAGCACAGAAATCATCCAATTGGGGGGACAACAATCAGGCTATCACTGACTCCACCATCCTTCACCGGTTATTCAAAGGCAGCAACTATTTATGGGTAGGAGAAAGAACAAAGGACCATAGAGTAGTATACGAAAACCACACAATCTATTAACCACTTGCTGACTAGCTTGTACAGGCACAATCATGGCACTGGCTTTCAGGTTCAGGGAGCGCCCCCCCCCCCCCTCCACCACCACTACTATTCCCAGCTGATTCCTTCTGTGATTAGACACAGCAGGATTTTGCCAATGATTCATGGCCAATACCATCTGATCAGCTGTGTCTAATCACAGCTCCGAGCCCTGTGTTGATAAACACAGGGATCTGTGCAGAGGGAAGGATCTGTTTGTTCTCCCTGCAAAGCTGGGAGAAGGAACATACAGATATTTGGTAAAAGCAAAAACACAGTTAACCCTTTGATCACCCCTAGATGTTAACCCCTCCCCACCCAGTGTAATTATTACAGTCACCGCATTAGTGTCAGTTAGTATACCTCCCACCCAGTGTCACTATCACAGTCCCACTATATGGCGGCCGAGAACCTGCTGTTTAATCGGTGTAAATTGCCTCACCATTATTGCCCAAGTATACAAAAAAACTCCCCTGCTCTAAATAAATATAAATTCCAGTGCGTGTGTGTGTATATATATATATATATATATATATATATATATATATATAGTGGGAACTCGCTTCAAAGTGGTAGAGCTTTTAAATGCACACAGCTACTCGCTTTCTTTAAGGCCTTTTTGCCCACTTTTATTTAAACGAAAGTTCAAACAGAAGTTTCCCACACAGGGGTATCGATCATCCACAAAACAAAATTCAGCCTCCTGGCTCTCTCAGATATACAATCTTCCTGTCTGTCTCCTGCAGACTTCTTCAAGACTTATGGCTCGTGCACACAGCTGGCCACTAGCACACAGCTAGACTCTAGCAGCCCCTTGCTGCTTTTGCCTTCCACCTCTCCTAGGTGGAGCCCACCTGACTTCCAGGCAGTGACCTCCTGACTCCTATCTGCCGGGGTGGAGCCCTGCTGACTCCTATCTGCCGGGGTGGAGCCCAGAACCCTGGTCCTGACTCTCTCTAAAGGCCTGCACACACCTGTGAAATCAGTCTCCTGGCCTATCCCAAAACCTGGTCCCAGGATTGGAGATTTCATCCCTCCCAGATCTCTTTGAAATCTCCAGGCTCCAGATCCCAAAACAGACCTTACAAACAAAGGAGGAAAGTGAAAAGCCACTTTCCTCCGTATCAAACACTTACCCTGGAGCCCCTCAACCTGCCTAGTTGAGAATCCTGGGTGACAGATCGTCACACTGTCACAATATATACATACATACACATATATATATATATATATATATATATATACACATATACACACATATATACATACATACATACATACATACACACACACCCATACATACACACCTTAGTTTGTAGATGCTATAAGTATTCTTTATGTTTAATCTGTTTTATTGTCATTTTTGTTTATTTACATAAGAATGAATTACAAGCAACATAGGACATATTCAATACAAAATAAATTGCAGGTGACAACAGACGTGTGCTGTCCAATCCAAACCTGAGACAAATAACACAATACTGGGATTTGGTTTTTTTTTTACCAAAGACATGTGGCAGAATACATTTTGGCCAAAATTTATGAAGAAATTAAATTTTTTTTATTGAACATGCTTTATAGCAGAAAGTAAAAAATATTTTTTTTTCAAAAAAATTTTTGGTCTTTTTTAATTTATATAAAAAAAAAAATAAATAAATACAAAAACCATTGGCATTCAAATACCACCAAAAGAAAGCTCTATTTGTGTGGAAAAAATATATATAATTTTATTTGGGTACAATTTTGCGTATTTACGCAATTACTAGTTATAGTAGCGCAGTGCTAAATAGCAAAAAATGGCCTGGTCATAAAGGGGGTCAAACTTTCCAGAGTTCAAGTGGCTAAAAAGCAGATATACCCATAAAGGTTACGCCCTACGTGTGTTTCATCTGGGGCAACAGACGTCTTCAGGGGATAAAGATGTCTGTTGCACCAGACAAAACACGAAGAGGGAGAGCCCAGTGGCATATGATTTTGTACACCCACTGTTGATCCCTGATGTGAAGTGTTTTGCTTGTGTTACGGTGTTGCCTTTTGTAACATTTGTGATACATCTGCTTTTATTAAGTCATGGGCTTTTAGCATATTACTCTATGGTCCTTTGTTCATTTTCCTACCCATTATTACTCTGAAGTGCTGCCTTTGGATAACTAGTGAAGGACCGTGTAGGTGGTGGAGTCAATGGTACCCTAAGTGTTGTCCGCCTAATTGGGTGACTTCTGTGTTTGGTAAGGGAACTGAAACACTTGTTTGTGAGGTGGTTTTGGATTCTTACAAGAGGATTTTCATCATTTTCAAGGTTGCAAATTTGGACTTTTATATCTTTTTCTTTGAAGTTTCCCCCTTTTGTTATGCACAAGGTAAATATTTATGTTATTTCACAATTTATGTGATGCACATTGTTTATTAAGGTTTAATATAAATTAATTTTATTTTTTCACACATATAACTTTGTATTGGATCACTACAGAGATATTGGTTTTGTACACTTTTCAGATTCATTATTTTTGGATTTTCTTGTGTCCGGAATATCGGTCGCTGCGTTACCTCTTTTGCACTAAGCACACAATTTTCTGTATTTATAATAACATTTTTATTGAAGAGTTTATAATTTGTGCCACTAAACAAATAAACGTATCTACCACAGCACTTATAGAGCGTCATAATATATTCCAAGCACAAGCAGTATTATGTGCATAACATGTCCATTCCAGCACAATACATTTTAACTGTTTTTTGTTTTTTTTTGCATGCTAATGGTAAGCTAATTTACCATTCTGTGGCATGTATGTCAGTGATAAATGAAAATCACCTTTTTATCTAGTTACTTTTGGGCCCAGTACTAGACACGGGATGAAAGTGAGAATTTTCAGGACAATGTGGGAGGACAAAGCTCATACCTGAGAAGTTTCCTACATGTGTGCACTCATCCATGACACCTTTCATAAATAGCCAAGACTCCATTTGCAGAGCTTCAGTCTTCTTTGTGTCCTCTCTCTTTTGGTGATTGCTGACTCCAGCAGTCATTGCTTGTCCAATATAGGGCACTTTAGAGTCACCGTGGAACATAAAGCTATTGTCACTGCTACTTGCTGTTTGGAGAGGATCAGGCGATAATTGATCCTGCGTGCTGTTAAGGCGGAAAAGACTGGCAGCTAGTTTTAAATGGGTCAGACTGTCAACACTTCTTGGGGAGTTTTTCACAAAGTCCTGTCCCATCTTGAACGAATCTGCCTAAAATGAAGAAGGAATTCTAAGAACTAATAGGAACATACATATACTGTAGAGAATACCAGTTAGTTAAAGATCTTTGGTATACAAAAGTATGCACAGTCATGGCCAAAAATATTGGTACCCCAGCATTTCTGTAAGATAATGCACCACTTCGCCCAGAAAATTGTTGCAATTACAAATGTTTAGGCATTCTTATGTTTATTTCTTTTGTTTGTATTGGTAGGACACAAAAAAGTGGAGAAACAAAAAGCCTAATCTGAAACATTCCACACAAAACCCCAAAAATGGACTGGACAAAATTATTGGCACCCTCAATTTAATATTTGTTAGCATACCCCTTGGAAAAAATAACTGAAATCAATTGCTTCCTGTAGCCATCAATGGGTTTCCTACAGCTCTATACTAGAATTTTGGACCACTTTTCTTTCACCAACTGCTCCAGGTCTCTCAGATTAGAAGCATTCCTTTTCCCAGCTGCTGTTTTGAGATCTCTCCACAGGTGCTCTGTGGGATTGAGATCTGGACTCATTGCTGGCCAGTTCAGTACTCTCAAATGCTTTGTCTGAAACCATTTCTGGCAGCTTTCTGATGTGTGCTTTGGGTCATTGTCCAGACCCATGACCTCTGAATGAGATATAACTTTCTGACATTGGACCCTACATTGCCCCCCAAGAATTCTTTGATAGTCTTCAGATTTCAGAATGCCATGCATATGGTCAAGACACCCAGTGCCTGAAGCAACAAAGCAACCCCAAAAACATCAGTGAACCTCCTCCATGTTTGACTGTACGGACTGTATTCTTTTTTTTTTTTAAAGGTCTAATTTATTTTTCTGAAAACAGTAGAATGATGGGTTTTACCAAAAAGCTGTAATTTGTTTTGTCTGTCCACAGCACAATCTCCCAAAAGGATTTTGGCTTCCTCAGGTAAATTTCGGTAAACTCCAGTCTAGATTTTTTATGTTTCGGTCAGCAGTGGGGACTTCCTGGGTTTCCAACCACAGCATCCCTTTTTATTCAGATTGTGACGTATAGTGCGAGCTGACACAGTTGTACACTGTGCCTGAAGATCACCTTGAATTTGAAAGTAGATCGAGGTTCTTTATCCACCATTTGAACAATTCTTTGTTGCAATCTTTGATCAATTTTTTTCTTTCGTCCAGGAAGATTAGCTACAGTGCCATGGGCTGTAAACTTCTTGACAATGTTGCACACAGGAACATTAAGATCTCTCGAGATGGACTTGTAACCTTGAGATTGTCCATGCTTCTCCACAATTTTTGTTCTCAAATCCTCAGATGTTTGCTGCTCTTTCTCTTCTTCATGCAGCATACAGAGACACAAAACAGAAAGGTTGAGCCAATTTTTTTACCATTTTAACTGGTTGCCGGTGTGATTTCTATATTGACAGCACCCGTTAATTGATACAGGTGAGTTTAACTTACAAATTACATCACAAACTTGGAATGCAATTATTTCTTACAATTTTGAGATGGTGCCTATAATTTTGTAAAACAATGTAAATAATGGGTGCTGAGAGAAGACAATGGCACAGAGACACCAAAACACAAATGTAAATGGTTAAAAAAATGAAGTAAAAACATTTAAAAGCAAGTCCATATAGTCCAGAGCACTAACAGTAGCAGCTGCCCATGGAGTAAAGCAGGCTCTGTAGAAATATAAGAAAACACAAGGGGGAGCCAACCTAAGTTCATATGTATTAAAAGTTTATTTGGAATATAGCCAAATAGCTACTCACAAGTACAAAAGGGTATACAAGCGTTGAATCATGTCCTCGAGAGGGCCCGTGCAAGGGGCAGTTGTATCTGGTAATGCCCGGGTCCCGGGAGTGGGATGTGGAGTAAGCTGTCAGCGAAGGACACCGTGACCAGTGACCAGTGCCATAACCAGCGTAGAACGCACGGGAGTCCGCACCAGGAGGGAAACCAATGGGGATGTGAGGACAGGTCAGGTGATGAGTAAGGTGACGCGTTTCAAAGCTTATGCTTCTTATTCAGACCTCCTTACTCCACATCCCACTCCCGGGATACAGGCATTACTAGATACAACCGACCCTTTTTTACTTGTGAGTAGCTATTTGACTATATTCCAAATAAACTTTTAATACATACTGCACTTAGGTTGGCACCCCCTTGTGTTTTGCCTATAAGTTTTGGCTGTTTCTCCAATTTTTTGTGTCATATCAATACAAACAAAAGAGAAAAAAAACATGAGAATGCCTAAACTTTTGTAATTGCAACAATTTTCTAGGCGAGGTGGTGCATTATCTGACAGAGATGCAGGGGTGCCAATATTTTTGATTTTTGACATGACTGTATATATATATATATATATATATATATATATATATATACACACACACACACACACACACACACATTATGTTCAAAATAATAGCAGTCAGATATCACTAACCTAACAAGGAACAGCGTACCTTGATTAAAAAGTTGATTGGAGAAGGGAAAACATATAAAGAAGTGCAGAAAATGATAGGCTGCTCAGCTAGAATGATCGCAAATGCTTTAAAATGGCAACCAAAACCTGAAAGACGTGGAAGAAAGCAAAAAAACTACCATTGGAATGGATGGAATAGCCAAAATGGCAAGGACTCAGCCAACAATCAGCTCCAGGAAGATCAAAGAAGGTCTAAAGTTACCTGTGAGTACTGTTACAATTAGAAGACGCCTATGTGAAGCCAAGCTATCTGCAAGAAGCCCCCGCAAAGTCCCACTGTTGAAAAAAAAGACGTGCTGAAGAGGTTACAATTTGCCAAAACACACATTGACTGGCCTAAAGAGAAATGGCGCAACGTTTTGTGGACTGATGAAAGTAAGATTGTTCTTTTTGGGTCTAGTGGCCGGAGACAGTTTGTCAGACGACCCCCAAACTCTGAATTCAAGCCACAGTACACTGTGAAGACAGTGAAGCATGGTTGCGCAAGCATCATGATATGGGGATGTTTCTCATACTACGGTGTTGGGCCTATTTAACGCATACCAGGGATCATGGATCAGTTTGAATACATCAGAATACTTGAAGAGGTCATGCTGCCTTATGCTGAAGAGGAAATGCCCTTGAAATGGGTGTTCCAACAGTGGGACTTTGCGGGGGCTTCTTGCAGATAGCTTGGCTTCACATAGGCGTCTTCTAATTGTAACAGTACTCACAGGTAACTTTAGACCTTCTTTCATCTTCCTGGAGCTGATTGTTGGCTGAGTCCTTGCCATTTTGGCTATTCCATCCATTCCAATGGTAGTTTTTCGCTTTCTTCCACGTCTTTCAGGTTTTGGTTGCCATTTTAAAGCATTTGTAATCATTTTAGCTGAGCAGCCTACCATTTTCTGCACTTCTTTATATGTTTTCCCCTCTCCAATCAACTTTTTAATCAAGGTACGCTGTTCTTCTGAACAATGTCTGGAACAACCAAAAATTAGAAAAATGGTGCCACGCCCATATATTGCGCCCGTGTAAAGATAAATTAACACAATATTTAAATAAAGAAATTACCGTTAATTAATCAAATGTAAAATATGCAATTCATTGTTGTAAAAAATGCAATTCATTAATATATAAAAAAAAAAAAATATATCAAAAATAAATAATTAATGAAATGTCAATATAAGTAAAAGTCCAATCTTGCATGGAATCCCATCAAAATGTGACTATTTAATGTAACCTACTGTTCACATGATTCCGGATATTCTAATAGAAATGCTCAAAATGACATAAGTTACTTGGTGTATTCTTCTATGAGAAGCTAGCTGAACGGTTCTCCTCTTTGCTCCTGCTATTCTGCTGTGAATGGGTCCAGGGTGAGGTCCTCCCTCCAACAGATATAGTTTGCTTTCTCCAAGGCCCAAGGACAGAATGATAGCTTCCTTCCAATCAAAACCCTCCAGTGATACCAGATGGATCTTTGCCAGACAACGCGCCTCAGTCAGCTTACTGTAGAACCAGGGTCACTCTCTCAGACTTGGCCACCTGAGGCCCTCATGGCAGCAAGTGTCAGACGAGACAAACCTGCCTCCAGCCTGACTTGGTGCAATCCAGTCCTGGGAAAAACATCTGGAACAACCCATTTTCCTCAGAATTTCAGAGAGAAATGCACTGTAACCAGCATGTACAACATTTGCTGCCTTCCTTCCTTAAATAAGGGCAATAATTGCCACCTGTTTTTCAAAGAATAAATGACGTCACTAATAGAACTCCCCACTGCTATTATTTTGAACATGCCCTTTTCAAATTAGTGATTCAATTACACAGAATCAGCAGCATGCATGTCATGACTGTTGGGTCTGTTGGATTTCTATTACTCTACTACACCTGCTAATATATTAATTGCCATGTAGAAATATCATTTCTACCAAAAACAGTGATTGATCAGGTTAGTGATGTCTGACTGCTATTATTTTGAACACAACTGTATATATATATAAAATATTGTATCTATAGACTGAGCGTGCTGTATGCAGTCAAGACTTCTTTCTGATGTGCACGTGACACTCTGGGTCTCAGGAGCAGTGTAGCAGTGTTCTTATGTAAATGAAGCCTTCAAACAATGTTTGCAACTTCACTTATAATACATTGCAACATCATTCTTATGCCTAGTACACACGATGAGAGACAATATTGTACGATTTATTATTTTTTTTTTGCATGATTGTAAATTTATTTCTAAAGTTATATTCTCGAAGGACAGAATACAACTTAGGAAGTGATTGTATTGTAATGTATTCTTTCATTTTGTGGTCTTGGTCAGTTGATTTTCTTCGTACAAATACTAATTACCCAAAAATTGTTCGTTCCGTTATCTTATGAGAAAATTTTTCATTCTTGTCCCTTCAGATATTTTCACATGACCTGTCATGATCAGCTCTTGAAAGCTGTGTACTAACAAACAGAGCATCGGATGATTGCTCTGACTGTTTCTTTCTGTCCATATTTCTCATTGTGTGTACTAGGCATTACACTATTTTGCTTTGTGCTTATATACAGATTAAATACTTGTGATTTAATAAACATACTATGTCAGTTCTAGCAAATTTTTTATAAAAATATTTTAAAAGGTTTAGGCAATGTTAGCTTTTTCAAAGGTTTCTAAGTTTTAAACTCTTTTATATAAACTTTTTTTTTTCTATATATATATATATGTAATTTGTTTTATAGAATAAGTAGGGGTAAACTTGGGTGGTGTTTTAATTAATTTTCGAAAAAAAAGATGATAAAAAAAAAAAGAAAAGAAAAAGATATTAATAAGGATGTAGCTTTTTTCCTTAACATTTGTATTGATTTCAAAATGCTTGGCACAGCAAATAATACAAGTGTACCATGAAGACACAAGGTTAGAGGGTGCAGGCTCACAGTGTAGTATTACAGTACATTAAGAAGATTAGCTTCCACGACTCCAAACATTTAAGGGGTAAAATTGCCTAACAGTGATTTTATGAGCTAATGAAGTATATTGAAGTTTGTGTTGGTGTGCTAGGGAGTTAATCTATGGAGGAGGCGTGTAGATTAATAGGAAGAGGGGGAAAAATAGTATGAGACCATCTATACTTCTGGATAAACGTTAGCTTGCATAAAAGTCTAAGATCAGAGAAAATAAGAGAAAGGAAAAAAAAATAAAAAATCTTCACCACTATCAATGTGTTTAGTGGAGAAGTGTTTTGATAGCATCTTTGTAAGTTTTGAAATTATGGACTATTAGAATAATTCAGTCAGATATCAGTCCGTTATTTTAAATGCCAGACAACTGGCCAAGATCTCACAGAATTTGGTATAGCTTTTTGCTTGTTTTGTATAAACTCTTCCATGATTCAATATTGGTTGACCCTTAGTAGCTATTACATTCGTAGGTGTGCGATTGATTGCTTCCAATATTTTGGGATAAGGCTTTTAGCAGCATTAAGAAGAAATGGTCTTACGAGTAAACATACTGTGGCCTGCATTTTATGGTCCTTACTTAAAGTGGTTCTAAAGGCATTTTTTTTTTATTTTTTTAACCTTAATGCATTCGCTTTGTTTTTCTTTACTCCACTCTCATGCTGCTAGCTTCGACTTTTTTTTTTTTTTTTTTTTTAAAAAGCAGCGTATGCTCACGGTATGCACTATGTTCGCTTAATTAGTCACATATTTTTTTTAATTGACTCTTGGAGAGTCAAGACTCTTGGGGGTTTATTTACTAAAGCTGGAGAGTCCAAAATCAGACTCCCTTCTGCATAGAAACCAATCAGCTTCTAACCTCAGCTTGTTCAATGAAGCTTTGGCAATGAAACCTGGAAGCTGATTGGTTTCTATGCAGAAGGGAGTCTGATTTTGGACTCTCCAGCTTTAGTAAATAAACCCCTTGGAGTCTTCGACCCCTGGATGATGCAACCATCATAGGTTCCATTCTGGGCATATCCTCCTGCAAAGTTGTCCATGAGTTGTGATCTTTTATATCCAGGAAAAGCACTTGCATGATGAACAAAGAAGGGGAGGTTAAAAAAAATGCAGGTAATGGTAGAGCCCAGATTGTCTTTCTACACTGAATAATCTCATAAATACTGAGTTCTTGACACTTAAGTGTACACCTCAGTTACAGCACTATGAGAATAGCATTATATCTGTGGTCATAGCTTTAGTTACATTTATCTAAATAATGTATGTCATTGGTATTTGTAGTTTTTCGATAAGTAAGACCACATTCACTGTGATGCACCTGTGGAACTGTTCAGGTTGTTTACGTACCCCACAATATTCAAGCAAATGCAAGATCTCATCCTCATAAACTGTCTGTGTAAAGTACTGTTTCTCCAGCTCTCTCCAGTTTACAGCTTTGCTTAGAACACCCTAGAAAGAAAATAAGTCGAAGCAAATTAAAAAACATTTGCACCTGTGCAATGCATGTACACTTTCCCATTATTTATCCTTTTAAAGACTCTGCAAGTACAGAAAAAATTGATCTACCAGAAATGCAGTCTGCTCCTAGTTCCTGTGGTAGGTTTACATTTTGTGGTGTTTTTGTTTCAGAGTTGTCAGCTCTGTCCAGTTTTATCTTGCCAAACTACTCAGACACACTTACTCAACATAAAGAATAATCACTTTGTAGTCCCTAAATAAGGACTAGGAGAGCTAATAAGGCTAGATTCACATTTATGCAATGTGGCAGCGCACATGCGTTGCAGTGTGTTTTTCCCACATTACTGTGTATTGCAGTAGGGCAGCCCATTCATTTGAATGGGCTGCCTACTGCATTTAAATCCCACCAAAGTAGTACATGACCCTTACTTCCCTTTAGAAAACAGAAAAGCAGGCACAGTAACTAGATGGCTCTGAATCTGTACCATGGTTAACAGGTTTTCCTTTTTTTTGTTTTGTTCCAAAAATACTTTAATATAAGAAGAAACAAAATAGCATATAGAGCATATACAGCTATAGATCACAGTCAGAACATAGACATGACATGTTGCCTCCGTTTCGCAGACGGGACATATTGTAAACTGTAATACAAGTCAAAATGGGGTAGAACATTACATCAGGCAAATAATGTAAACCAGTGGATACGCAGAGGAAAGCAGATACATCGATGTAGGTGTATGTTGTCACGTCTTGAATATCAGCAATTTTTAATGATGAGGTGATATGAAGATTAGGGTAGGGAAAGCATTGGATGCTGTGAAAGTCATGGTTTACGTATTTATAACTTGAGTGAATGATATAGTTGCAGTTAGAGCATTTACTTCCACACAGATATGACTATTTGGTTGGTGAAGAATGAATGATAAGGTGGTATAACAGGTGTGGAAAAAAAAAAAAGGAGGTCGGAAAGAAGAACAGTAGAAAAAGAAATGTAGGATGAGATGGTGGGGGAAATATGGGGGTAAAAAAAAAATAAAATAAATAATTTGGGGGGGGGAGTAAGGGTTTAAGTGACAGTAGAATGTATACAGTTGCAAGAAAAAGTATGTGAACCCCTTGGGATTACGTGGAGTTTTGCATGAATTGGGCAAAAAATGTGCTCTGAACGTCATCTAAGTCACAACAATAGAAGAACACAGTCTGCTGAACATAATACTACACAAACATTAGATGTTGCCATGGTTTAATAGCACATAACATGTAAACATTCACAGTGCAGGGAGGAAAAAGTATGTGAACCTTTGGACTTAACTGGTTGACCCTCCTTTGGCAGCAATAACCTCAACCAAATGTTTCCTGTAGTTGCAGATCACACCTGCACAACAATCTGGAGTAATTTTGGACCACTCCTCTTCACAAAACTGTTTCAGTGTAGCAATATTCTTGGGATGTCTGGTGTGAATCGCTCTTTTAAGGTCATGCCACAGCATTTCAATCGGGTTGAGGTCAGGACTCTGACTGGGCCACTCTAGAAGACGTATTCTGTGCTGTTGCAGCCATTGTTTTGTTGAATTACTTGTATGCTTTGGGTCATTGTCCTGTTGCATCACCCATCCTCTGCGGAGCTTCAGTTGGCGGACAGATGGTTGTACGTTTTCCTGCAAAATGTCTTGATAAACTCTGGAATTCATTTTCCAATCAATGACAACAATCCGTCCAGACCCTGAGGCAGCAAAGCAGCCCGAAACCATGATGCTCCCTCCGCCATGTTTTACAGTGGGGATGAGGTTTTGATGTTGGTGTGCTGTGCCTTTTTTTCTCCACACATAGTGTGTGTTCTTCCCAAACAACTCAATCTTGGTTTCATCTGTCCACAGTATATTTTGCCAGTAGTGCTGTGGAACATCCAGGTGCTCTTTTGCAAACTTCAAACGTGCTGCAATATTCTTTTTGGACAGCAATGGCTTCCTCCGTGGTGTCCTCCCATGTACTCCATTCTTTTTTAATGTTTTCCTTATTGTAGATGTGTCAACAAAAATGTTAGCATGTGCCAGAGATTTCTGTAGGTCTTTAGCTGACACTCTGGGATTCTTATTTACCTCATGCAGCATTCTGCGCTGTGCTCTTGCAGTCATTTTTACAGGACGACCACGCCTAGGGAGAGTAGCAACAGTGCTAAACTTTCTCCATTTGTAGACAGTCTGTCTTACCGTGGACACATGAACATCAAGGCTTTTGGAGATACTTTTGTAACCCTTTCCAGCTTCATGCAAGTCAACAATTCTTGATCGTAGGTCTTCTGAGAGCTCTTTTCTGCGAGGCATGGTTCACATCAGACAGTGCTTCTTGAAACCAGTAAACCCAAAACAGGTGTGTTTTTTAAGGGCAGGACAGCTGTCAGCAACACATCCAATATCATCACACTGATTGGAGTCAAAGTTGGCTCACTCCTGGCTCCAATTAGCTCTGGGAGAAGTCATTAAGCTAGGGCCTCACATACTTTTTCCTCCCTGCACTGTGAATGTTTACATGTTATGTGCAATTAAACCATGGCAACATCTAATGTTTGTCTAGTATTATGTTCAGCAGACTGTGTTCTTCTATTGTTGTGACTTAGATGACGTTCAGAGCACATTTTATGCCAAATTCATACAAAACTCCACGTAATCCCAAGGGGTTCACATACTTTTCTTGCAACTATAGGTAATATAAAGTTAAATTGGATCACTTCCCTAAGTATTAGCCAAGCCAGAAAGGTAGTAATAAAGCTTAGAATATGGTACGTGCAAGATCGGTCAGTGGGGTAACCCGTGGATCAAAAACCCCGTAAGGCATGTCATGATCTAGACCTACAGCCCATCCTTACATGTGATAAAAGTGTCCCCGGTGATCCGGGTATTTCCCGATACAGAATTGTATTAGGAAATTCAGTCAGGGGATATAGATTGATCATTTACTATTAGATGATAGGTAGAAGTGGATTTGAAATGATTCCAGCATGCCCATTCCTTTTTTTTTTTTTACTTATCAGAGATATAACAAAAAACATCCAATGGTCTATTTAAAACAGACCAAAGGGGGCAAAGAAGAGAAAATCATTAATAGAGTTAGAGTTACATACACTATTTTTTTTAACCACTTGCCTACCAGGCACTTATACCCCCTTCCTTACCAGGCCAATTTTCAGCGCTGCCGCACTTTGATTGACAATTGCGCGGTCATGCAACATTGTACCCATATGAAATTTTGATCATTTTTTTCTCACAAATAGAGCTTTCTTTTGGTGGTATTTAATCGCCACTGAGCGCTTTACTTTTTGCGCTATAAATTAAAAAATGCAAAAAATTTGAAAAAAAAAAAAAAAAAGTTTCTTTGTTTCTATTATAAAATTTTTCAAACAGGTATTTTTTTCTCCTTCACTGATGTGCGTTGATGAGGCAGCACTGATGGGCACTGATAGGCGGCACTGATGGGCACTGATAGGCAGCACTAAAGGGCACTGATAGGCAGTACTAATGAGGTGGCACGGATAGGCGGCACTGATAGGCAGCACTAATGAGGTGTCACGGATAGGCGGCACTAATATGCAGCACTGATAGGCGGCACTGATAGGTGACACTGATGATGGGTACTGATAGATGGCACTGACTGGCATCACTGCTGGGCACTGACTGGGGCACTGACTGGCACAACCGCTGGGCACTGACTTGTGGCACTGACTGGCAGCACTGCTGGGCTGCACTGGTGGGTGGCACTGGTGGGCAGTGGCACTGGTGGGCACAGGTGGGTGGCACTGGTGGGCACAGGTGGGTGGCACTGGTGGGCACAGGTGGGTGGCACTGGTGGGCACAGGTGGGTGGCACTGGTGGGCACAGGTGGGTGGCACTGCAGAGTGGCACAGGTGGGTGCACTGCTGGGCACAGGTGGGTGGAGCTAGTGGGCGCACTGCTGGGCACAGGTGGGCGGAACTTGTGGGTGGCACTGCTGGGGCACCGATCATCAGGGCCCTGATGATCGGTGCCGATCCTCGCTCTGACAACTGCCGTTCTCGGCAGTACTTTCCTCACGATCTGACAGCGTGAGGAAAGTGCAGCCGAGAACCGGCACTTGCATTTCCCTGTGATCAGCGTGTCATTGGACACCGCTGATCACGTGGTAAAAGGCCAGTATGATCGGCCTTTTACCACATCTCGTGATCAGCTGTGTCCGTAGGACACAGCAATCACGGAGAACGCGGGTGTGCGCCCCCTGGGGCGCGCAGGAGAGCGCGTTCTGGGGGGACGTCATATGACGTCCACCCAGAACTGGCCGGCTGCAGTGAAGCCGTCATTCGGCTATCTGCGGTCGGCAACTAGTTAATAAAGTATAGCCTATTAAAACATTTCAAGCATAACTGTAAATTACAGTTCCAAGGGCGTGCAACAATCACCCAAAAAGGTACACAAAACACAGAAAAGCCCTTCAATTAAAAGGTAATGCCCTTAAGCATGGTGCAGAATTAATCTGACACAACAGAAGCCCACATATTTTAACAGGCTTCACAGGTGAGATCTGTGTTAGCATTATTTAAGTCAAAAGATCCTAGGATGCCAGCAATTACAGTAGTTGGATCCAAGCAACTGATTAATGGAAGGGGACTCTGCCACTGGACCACTGCCTAACTGAAGAGGTTTTCAACCTTTTTACTGAAAATGGAAAACATTTACAATACAAGCAGCAGATGTTAACTCACTGTTGTGAAGACCCCAGAGGCGGTTGACCAGGAAAGACATGGGACCAGAGGAATTGGTTTTGGCCAATTGGTCACTGCCAGTGATGCCATCTGAAAATATACAGATCCATTTCAAAATAATAGTTTTTTTACCGAATATTTAGCCTAAAACTGAAGCACTGGCAAATTACCCAAAAAATAATGGTTACTCTCGACAATTAAAAAGCACTTTATAACTTTTTTTTATCAGAGATTGCAGCACAAGTAATGTGCACACAGTAAAAATAACAAAAAAGAAAGTTCATAAATTGCTTTAGTAAAAACAAGAATTTAATCTAAAAACTGTCCTACCAGTTTGCTATAAGAAAAACATTGCGTTATACGTAGTTTGTTAAAATAGGATTTTTAAAGTAGATAGTCCACCTACCAGGGTTGGGTTATCTCCTAAAGGGGCAAAGACAGTGGAAGGTTTTTATTTTATTTTTTTTTTTTAATGCAGACTTAATGCAGAGAAACATTAAGTCAATAAAAAACAAAAAACACCTTCTGCCTTTAGATAAGTTCACCTTTCAACAAAAAAATAATAAATACACTTTTTTTGCAAGTAAAAAATGGGCATTTAACAATTTTTTGTTTCTGGAGCCTCTAAAGCAGACATCACTAAATGGTGGACCACAGTCCAGATCGGGTTACTGTCACATCCTGACCGGCCGCAGTCCAGCAATTTAAGAACTGGCTCCTCCGCTCAGCTGCCGTCACTTCTGTCATCCTCATCCAGCTGACATCGGAGGCAGGACAGCTCCAGATGGATGGTGGGAGGCACATCAGTATACAGCTGACATCGGAAGCAGAACATCTTCAGATGGACAGTGGGAATCACATCAGTTTAGAACGGACATTGGAGGCTCCAGATGGAGGGAGGGAACTGTCACGTTAACATTTCGAGTTAAACAGCAGATAATTGGTTGCAAGCAACCAATCACCTGCTGGTTACCAGGAAAAGTTGTGCAGCACTCACCAACCATCTGGAGCTGTGATGCCTCAGATGTTAGCTGTATACTGATGTGCCTCCCGACATCAATCCGGAGCTGTCCTACCTCCGATGTCAGCTGTATACTGATGTGCCTCCCACCTTTCAATCTTTGTTGGTAGGAGATGAAAGGGAATTACAGTCACTGCTGTGAAGGACTTGGGGGAAGCCGAGGATGATGTGAAAGGGAGCAGAGGACAGGAATCTGGAGGAGGAGGGGTGATATAAAGGGGAGGAGCTGAGGATAGGAATGGGGGCAAGTGAGGACAGGAATTCAAAGGAGGAGGCTGAAATAAAGGGGGGCAGAGAACAGAAATCTTAAGGAGGAGCAGGGGGTGATACAATGGGGGTGGGGGTTGACGAAAGGGATGTGAAGGGGTTGATATGAAGCAGGGCTGAGGCCAGTCATGTGAAGGAGGAGGGGGCTGATATAAAGGAGGCAGAGGACAGGAATGTGAAGGTGAGGCGATATTAATGGGGGGAGTGATGTGAAGGGGTGATCTTGATGTAAAGTGGGGGGGGGGTTGTGATGTACCCAGTAGGGGTCTGAGACCACTGTGTAATAACAGGATTGTGACTTGGAGGATCTGAGGCTAGGTTTACAATATTGTTACTTATGTTCTGCGTGTAGGCAACCTATTAATTTCAATGGGCTGTCTTGCATGCAGAAATGCAAACAAAAAAGTCCCTGACTCTTTTTTTTTTTAAATTGCACTGCATGTGCGGAATTTGCCGACGTTTCAAGGTGCCATTAAGAATCAACCTAAGCATTTCGGACCTTAGCTGGAAGAAAATGTTAGTGACTGGACCTCCGTGAATTTTAATTCAATATCCCTGCTCTAAAGCATTGCACCAGCGATCAGCAGATCGCTGGTGCCATGTAGGTCTCCCTCTGACCTGTCAGTTCTGCTTCCTCGTACATCCTGTGTAAAGTGGAATGAAAATGGTTGTTAAAATTTTGTACAAATAAATATCTGAAAGTGTGGCATGCATCTGTATTCAGCCCCCACGGAGTCAATACTTTGTAGAACCACCTTTCGCTGCAATTACAGCTGCAAGTCTTTTTGGGTATATACCTACCAGCTTTGCACATCTAGAGAGTGATTTTTTTGCCCATTCTTTGCAAAATAGCTCAAGCTCACACTTTTCAGACATTTATTTGTAAAAAATGTTGAAAACCATTTATCATTTTCCTTCCACTTCACAATTATGTGCCACTTTGTGTTGGTCTATCACATAAAAAGCCAAGAAAATACATTTACATTTTTGGTTGTAAGATGACAAAAATGTGGAGAATTTCAAGGGGTATGAATACTTTTTCAAGGCACTTTAAATCTAGGCATGCACATGCAGTAGCGCTGATGGAGAGAGAAAGTTAAATAACCTGTAATCCACTGATCAGGCCAGGATGATCAGTCAGCAAAATCCCCCTAATGGATTTTTACAGCAGGAATTTCACCCCTCCCCCCTTTCCTTACCCATTTTTAGGAACACCAATCCAAACACATGGAAACTTACATGTCCTCCCATTGAAATCCCAGTCATGCCCAGAGGCCCATATCCTTCTCTCTCCAGCCAGTAGAGGAGGGCAGCAGTCTCTAACACCAGAGCTCCACCCATAACAAACAAATCGGAGACATTCTTAAGGCTTGATCTCCTTAAGTACAGAGAAAAAAATAGTTTAGTAGTTCATGCAAAAATTACATTCCAGGTTTGTTTGCAGACTGTGTACTATTTGAGTTATGCTACTAGAAATGCAATGTAAGGACTGACAGTTTTCAATGAGCGCTGTATAAAAAACAAAAAGACAGTGCAGCAGCAATGACATTCTAAATGTATAGAAAAGTTCTACAACTAAGAATTTGACTATTCTTTCTTTAATAAAAGCGTTTGACCCGTTTACCATACACATCCAGATGCAAACAAATTAAAAATACAAAAAGTAACAATAGTCTGGCTGCTCAGCGTTTGCTAAGCGGATAGGCAGCTATCATCATTTCAACAGCTCTGCATACTATGGTCATCTAACCCTACATTTTCCTGGGCAAGGGGCAGGACCAGGCATGATTTTATGCTGATTGACAACCAAATGGCATCGTTGACTGCAGAGATAGTCCAGCCCCAGGTTATGTCACTGTGTTGTGCTTTGTTCTAGTATCGACAGCTGATGCAATGCGCAACAATGGGTATATACTGCATGTGTGACCGAGCTGCAATTTCGTCACTTGCTTACAGAAAATGAGTTAAGGAACTGGCCAATGTACCCATCAAAGGTACCCTTTTATGCAACAAGGAAAATATGTTAAAAAAGAACACCACTCTGTTACTGAACTTATGTTGCATAAGGGATTTATGTATAGTTTTAAACCACAGCTCCACTTAAAAATCAGTGTAGAATTGACTGTATCAAGAAGTTTGAGTATTCAAACCTAGGAAACAAACACATCACCCTGTTGTGGGACACTACTGACAGCAAGATAACTAACTTACCATATGTTACAGGCAATCTTACCTTATGTTAAGAGTATGTAACACACATTTGTAATGGGTATTTGTATGGTATGTTTAGCCTAAGGGCTGGGTTTTTTTTTTTTCTGCATTCAAAACGCACACTACATGGTTGTCAATGGCATGGTTCAAACCAGTGCTTGCAGTTCCAGTGCTTTCCAGTTCCAGAAAAAAAAGTAGAACATGCTGCATTTTTCCTGCACAGAACTGTACTCGAATGCAGTAAAAGTACCCCCAAAAAAGTGGAAAAAGCTGCAACAAAATGCGCATGCAGAAACGCATCCACACTGCATTTCTATGGTGTGAGCCAGCTCTTAAAGAAAAAAAAAAAATGTCAGATATTGCACATTTGACTCAACTATCTGTGTGAAATAGCAACACGAGAATAAAAACAAAAATAATAACAATAAAACCAGGACAGCATAAAAGCAACAATGTAAACGAACAAAAGTTTAATTGCAGCATACACTGCATTATTTGTGAACAATATATACCATACCGAAAAACTATCTTAGGCTACACTGAGATCTAAACTATATGAAAGAGCCACTCCTAGCTAATACATGATTAATGGATATCTGTTCTGTGGAAGGTCAAACCAAAGCAGAGTAAAAAAAAAAAAAAAACTGATCGTTCCTTTCTATATTCCAGAATGGTTCACTAGAATAATGGCTCCACCCACCCTCTCAGGAGCTGTTGCCTTTACATTAAATGCAAGATGACTGGCAAACCTTAACCATTCATAAAACAAAGTTGGAAAAAAAAGGGAGGGAGCTCACCATCATGGGGAAAAGGAGTTATCAAGTAATAGGTTAGGTTTTCCTAAATCATCCTCCAGGACACTCGAGGGACATGTAAAAGTACAGCATTACCTAAGGTGGGACCATTGCCTGAAGCACTTCTCTGCTGAAGGCTTAATCCTGGCTGGATAGGAGGTCAGTCCAATAGTGCTTCACAAATGTATTAATGCTGGTCCTTGTGACAGCTTTTTAAATCTGCTCAACAGAGGCACGGACTCATTTAGCCCATTGGGAGAGAGCGCGTGGAATGAGCTGTGAAAAGTAGGGGGCCAGGTTTCCAAGCTGCTGTGCAAGTTATAAAAGCTAAACAGATCCATCTCCCAAGGGATGCTTTATTTCTTGGGTCTGTTGAAGAGAATAAAGATGGCATTCATTTTTCTTAATGCTCTGGTGCTATCAATTTATTGTTATAAGCATCTTGTGATATCCAAAAAGGCAATGACGGCTTCTTTGGGGATTATGCTTACTGACAGAAAGATGGTAGAACCAAATCCTGATTCCTGTGAGAACTTGTGAATACCTTGAACAAGAAAGCACGGACTGCGGTCATAATGATTCTGTCCTCAAGTAAAGTAAAAAATGGTACATTCACCAAAAGGGCTTGAATTTTGCTTTTACTAAGAGCAGATGTAATAGCGACTAGAAAACAGAAATTTAATGGTAAGGTGTTTGATCGGAGCATTAGTAATTGCCTCAAAGGGGAACCTGGTTAAGTCCATCCAGTACTATCTGTAGGTCCCAAGGAGGACTTCTGGAAGTTTGAGTCTATTAGGAACTCGACCGGGGGATTTTGGCTGTTTTTTTCTCAAGAAATACTGCAGGGCTGTTACATGAATTTTAGGAGTGCTGAAGACTAGGCCCTTGTCCACCCCACTTTGTAGGAAATCCAGTACTGAGGCAATTTTCTTGTAGATAGTACTGTTACTGTTGGCCCAGGACAGGTATGTTTTCTATATCTCCAGGTAGATGGCCAGTTTTCTGCTTTGGAGCAGTGATGCTGGAAAAACCTTGTTCTTAGGTCTCCTCTATTTAGGATCTAAGCTGTCAGTAGCAACTCCCACAGATGAGGGAGGTCTAATGATAGGAATTCCCTCTGCTTGGGAGTAACACTGGTGGTTCTTCTGCTGGAGGAACGAGAACCAGGCCCTCCTTGACTACAGGATCGCTGTGCCAGTGATTACGCTAACTTAAGGAGGTCCCCACTTTTTTTTTTTTTTTAAAGGTATTGAAACACCACCAGATGCAGGGTCTGCTTGTCTAAGTTGTTTCCAGTTCAATAAACTTGATTTTTGCTTTCCTCCCCAATAAGGATAGTTGAAATTGATGCCTGTTTCTTCTCTTTGGGATAGGGTTTCTTTTGTAGTGTCCTGGACCTGGTGCCTCCTGATGACTTAGACAGAAAAACGTGATGTCTGACAGCACCAGTACATTTTGTTAAAATCTTGGGTTTGAATTGTTGTAGCCCTTCCCCATCCACCTGAAGTTCTGTATTTGATAACCATAAAGCAAAGTGAGGTAGCCATCTGCCCCAGGCACTGGCATCTGTGCTGATGTGTACCACCATTTAAGGAAATCTTTCACTCTCCTGGTCATCTAGCGAGACCTGTCCAGAATTTCCTTTTTAATTTTCCCTTAGGTTCCTCCATAGCAGAGTTTCATGATGCAGGAGTGAAGATGTGAACTATCAAGGGTCCACTGATCCGCAGAGCCTTCTCTAATTGAAAAGATGTCTCCCAAGTTCTGACTGTTATCCTGAGGGCCACAAGTGGAGACCCCTCAAATGTCCACTACTTTATCCAGTGTTTCGTGGGCACCTGTCCAGTCTGCAATGCACCGGATGTGTATCAGCTGCAAGCTCACCAGTTCTGTGCAACCTCACTTCAGGTCACCATTTTTACTTAGCTCAGGATGCACCAAAAGTAAGTAATTGGCCCATGCTCTGTGGGAACTCAGCAGCTGCCCCCCATGTGAGGGAAATGGTAGATGCCGCCACAGGCAGAGCCTGAAGAGGGCTGTAAGGGAAGAAGTGTGTGGTGAATGATGCCTGCCAGACACCCTTCTTTTTGGCCCCTCTGTCTTAGGCTTGCCAAGTCCCAATGGCCCGCAAACATAACCTTCAGCTGTCATGGGAAGAGTGGGGGAGGTTGGCTCTGACCTCTGCAGTTGACACACAGAGAACGGAAACAAAACCAAGAGCTGGTACATGGATTATTTGCAGGAGGCAAGAAACACAAACTGAAGGCAATGCCTTCTGGGAGCCTTTAAATTCTGCAAGTGAAACCTGCAGTTAACCACCCTGGGAGGATGATTAGAGAAATGAAGACTACTTGAAAGCAATTTATCATTAAAACACAGGGAGTGAGTGAAGTCCATTATTTATAAGCACAAGGTGTCAATCAACAGAGTAAACATTTTTTAAAATAAGTCACAAAAATGGCTTCTGGTATACAATTATTGTTTGTTAATGTTTATTATTTACATCTACAGTATTTCTAAGAAAAAAATATAATTAGAAAAAAAAAACCAATAACTTACAGTTGGTCCTTAGGTTTTCTGCAGCCATGTAAGATTTTGGTCAAGGAAAAAGTAGTAATGTTAGTGTCATTTTTGTAAAAAAAAACAGATAAAACAGTAAAGTCAAGCAGTGTGGCACTTTACCAAAAAACATGAGTTTTATCACTACTAGTACACAATGTGAAGGTCAAACCTCCTGATTATAAAAGCTGCAATTAGAATGAAAAAATGATCTGCTATTCTGATATACAAAAACAAAACTATTCTGGCTATTTTTATGTATATGGCACCATCATATTTCATGGCACTGCAAAAAAGTCAAAGGATGGGTACTAAATAAAAATTTTCTAGTGGCACGTTTGCACAGTTGTATAGAAAAAGTATCAATAACAATCATACAAGGGAGATAAGAGTACTACCACATGAACTAAAAAACAAAAAAAAAAACCCAGTATATTAAAAAAACAAAGATCATCTCATTTTAAATCACGGATTTTGGTGCTAAAAAATTAGCATTACATTTTTCAACACAACAGTACACATTAGAACTGCTGTGATGGTATTTCTTACTATAACAGCACAAAATTCACCTGGGACAAAATTTTATTTTGCAGAGTGGATAAGTGTATAGCACATGTGACAAAGGTGATTTGTGCAGTAAATTCAAGGGGCAGAAGAAAAAAGTCAGAGGCAGAAAACCAACGCACCAAGGAAAGAAGGTGGACAATGGACAGTTTTCCAGCTAGACAACAGATGTGCCAGTTGTAGTTGAGATCTGCACTTTAGAGCCTGAATCTCTGTAGGAGTAAGAAGATGGTCAGTGAGAATCTGAAAACAATTGACATACAGTAATACAAGTCTTTTCACGAGTCTTTTCTAGTGATATAATTACTATCAGACTTTAAAGCAGAACTAAACCCTCCTATCCTTTTCAGCCAAGAAAGCTGCCATCTAAGGCCTCATTCACATCATACGTGCAGAAAAACTGACGGAAACTGATGTGCAGATTTCACTTGCAGAGATATCAGTTTACATCAGTTTTCATGCACGCTTCAATGAGCTTTATACGTGTTGCAGATTCCTGCGCAGAAAGAAATCTGCATATGATAATAATGTTGTGGTGTGAACACGGCAATTGTTTTAATTTTGCCCCTGTAGAACGCGTGCAGAAACACAGTACCATGGTGTGAACGAACCCTGCAGGGTTTATTTACTAAAGCTGGAGAGTGCAAAATCAGACTCCCTTCTGCATAGAAACCAATCAGCTTCCAGGTTTCATTGCCAAAGCTTCATTGAACAAGCTGAGGTTAGAAGCTGATTGGTTTCTATGCAGAAGGGAGTCTGATTTTGGACTCTCCAGCTTTAGTAAATAAACCCCTTAGTGTCTCATCTGCAACTGCTATGATGCTGCCCATGTGATCAGTTGTGACACCAGCCATTTGATGATCTCTCAGTTTGGTCGAAAGCACAAGCAAATGTGACAGCATTCCCGACATTTTTTAAGCCACTAAACTGATGGGTTTAGTTCTGCTTTCCAACTGTGCTGGAAAAATAAGTACATAACCATTTCAAAACTCTCCTTCTGAAAATTCTAGCTTTCTAGTAGGAAAAAGGTGCCATAAAGAAGGGACTCACCTCATACTATATAGCAAATAATTTTTTTAAAGGATATAGTAAGGATTTTCTAACAACAGGGAAGCGATTCCAGCCTCTTTAAGCATAGGGCGGGCCATTAAGGTTCTTCTCCTCCAGTAATACTATAGCACAAGAAATACAGTACATTACATTCATATATACCAATGTTTTTACTAGCCTTCTTATGTACATGCTGACATATGAAACAAACAGGTGAGATTCCAGATGTACTTAGCTTTGTTTAGTTCCAAACACTGAAGAACATCTGAACAGTGCTAAAGTATAAGAGCATAGTCACATACACTACGTCTCTGTCAGTTATAGTTGTGCCTTCATTTATTCTGAACAATAGTCAGAACATTGAAAAAAAACCTGCAAGCAATATCCAGTTACTTGGGAGTCTTTAAAAATATGGCAGCACCTAGTCCTGTTTCTTTTTGATAGTTTTTGCATGGTTTTTGTTGTAAAATTTGGGGGGGGGGGGGGTCTGTTTATAAAAGGATACCCTTTGTGGTTCACACACTGAACATTTGCTGGACTATGTCCATCTGTATTTTGTGGAAATAGTACATCATTTTCAGAAGATTTGTCCTATTCACTAAGATTTACCCAGCAGCAGTGACAAACATGATAGAGATATTCCAAGAACAAACACACAACATAAAGAGAGAATTTGAATACTAATCAAGATTCAGCCATCATTCTCAAAGAGGATTAGTCCTATTTGCCCATCGTTTCAAATGAGGCTTAGCTCATAGACAAATTTTTTTCATCATTGGAATCTCTTTATTATTGGAAAGTGCTGATGGGTGCATCTTGTTAAATTTAATGGAGAAATCCTCTTTGAAAATTAATTCATTCTAAATATGGGGGGGGGGGGGGGGGGGATCCTGGCCTAGTCACAAGTAGGAATTAACAGATTTGGAGATAACCATTTGTCACATATTTTTCTTTATTTAGTATTTATGTAGCACTCACAATTTAGGCATAACTTTAGTATACCATACATTCACATCAATCCATGCCCTTTTAGAGCTTACAACCTATGGTCCCGATTTTACATGCAAACACATACTAGGGCCAATTTAATGAGGAGCCAAACCAGAGTACCCTGAGGAACCCCCCCGCAGGCACATGCAAATGCCATTCCAACTGCATGAAGAGTGTGTCCTGCCCTCATGCGAGGCCATATATAAAAGATGTTCCGTACAGAAAAGACACACTTACATGGTCACCCGTACCAGCAAGATGAATGCACACAGGCCTGTACTTGCTTTTCCATTCTTTAGGCACTATGAACTGAAACCTATAAAACACAACACTGCTCTAACATAACAATAAACATATACCAGATATATCACTTTGCATGGATATGACAATGTATCATTTTTTATTTCATTGACAAGGAAGATAAAATTTGTATTCATCATGAAATACCATTGGCTTTTGGAAACACATCAGAGGCCTTAAATGTATATCAGTGAAAAAAACAGAATTTCATAATACAAGCAGACGAAGGTAACATCCTGAGTTCATAATCTACTAGTGTATGTTACAACATTTCATATTTCTGATTTCTGTCTCTTGCACTATGCACTTGTATTAAAAAGTATCCTATTCTCTTTGCATTGCTTACTTTGTGTGAACTACATGGTGATCCTATTTCAAACTAACCATGGCAGGGAATGGAAGCACATCCATCCCAGTTGTGGTCAAGTTTGCTTCTTTTACTCTACTTAGGAGAACAATCTGCCTGTACTCCAATGGTCAGACTTGTGCTGACATGCATCCCCCCTCCCTGTACAGCTCTTTATTGGGAAGAGGAGTCTACTGCAATTTCTCTGCTGCCATGTCTCCCTGCACAGCTCTTTATTGGGAAGAGGAGTCTACTGCAATCTCTCTGATGCCTGCTGACACATCTCCTTGCACACCTATTTCACACGTGTGTGACTTGTCATGTGACTTTGTACATAAAGTCGCAAGACAAGTCGCAGCCCATTGGTTCCAACGGCACCTGTTCCGTTCTATGCGACAAAGTCGCAGCGATTTTAAAAAGGCTCCTGTACTACTTTGATGCGACTCAAGTGCCAGAGAGTGCATCAAAGTCGCACTGGAAATCATGTGACTTTGGATTGCACTAGTGTGAACCAAGCCTTACTGGGAAGATCAGTGTACTGCTATTTTTTCTGGCTCCTGCTGACATGCCCCCCCTGCACAGCACTTCACTGGGAAGATCAGTGTACTGCTGTCTCTTTGCTTCCAGTTGACATGCAAAAATAAAAATGCATTAAGCAAGAAAAAACATGCATAAATGCACAAGAACGCAATGAAAAAATGCACGATTGTGCAGCAGCACTAGTATGAACCTAGCCTTAATAAGCAATAATAAACATGGCGTGGCTATTCATTCATTCAGACCCATACAGGTACTGCTCCAGAAGAAAGCATCACTTTTGACAGCTGAGCTAGGTAGGTCTTTTCTATAAAATATTAATGAACACTTATGGCCTCTAGTTATGATCAGCAAAATCTCTGTACAGCCAGCAACTCTTCCCTTTTCAATGGAGAATAAATAACGAGAGTATCACTGCTTTTATGCCACTAACACACATTGACCAAATGTCACTTCAGCTGATGCATCTCTGAATAATAGAGATCTTCTCTGCATTGAATCTGCAGCCATGCAAACCAAGTCCTATTGCATTTTTTGGAGAGTTGCTGAAGGGTCTGCAGTGATTCCCAGCACCAAAGCAACCAATTCCAAAAAGGGTAGACGTCATACTGCCTGTATTTTTCCTGTGACATCTACAAAAACCCCTTGCTTTTTTACAAAGGTCACCAGCCAAATTTACCGTGCTACAACTGTTTCATTGGGCATAACATCTGGCACATAGTGAACCAAAGGTGAGGTAAAATGTCCATCGAGAATCTTGCAATCTGTTTGTTCTTCAACCTAAATTAGAGCACAAAACATAACCACAAGTAATAGGTCATTACGTAAAAAAGGAAAAGAAAATATCATAGGATCTATTTCTTATCTGGCCACACAGAAGATTAACAGTCCAGGTTTTACTGATCCATATCATACAGCAGTAGAACCAAGATGAAACCAGCAGTCATATACTAAATGTGTAAATGGAAGCCTTACCGTGTCTACATACACTGGGTAATCTTTCGGAACCAGATGCTGACATTTTTCTCGATTTCCAATAATCTTGCGAAATTCAAATATTCTGGAAAAAAAAAAACAAATATAGATTAAATATCAATATGAACATATATATTTTATGCATTTTTTGATCCATATAAACTTCCACTCGGAACGCATAGGGGGTCCAAGTGGGTACCTGTAAAAACCAGGTACCTGCTCCCCCCCACCAAAAAAAAAAAAAAAGTCATTTATACAAGAGGAGCAGGGGAGGAAGCCTTAAAGTTGAACTTCCGCTCTTCAGTGGAGCTCCGCTTTAAAGTGGTTGTAAACCTCAAACATGAAATATAAACAAAGCATATCCTTCTATAGTTTGTATGTGTCTCAGTTAAAAGCACTAAGGGTGTTCTTTACTAAAACCGGAGAGTGCAAAATCTGGTGCAGCTCTGCATAGAAACCAATCAGCTTCCAGGTTTTTATTGCCAAAGCTTAATTGAACAAGCTGCAGAAACTGATTGGTTACTATGCACAGCTGCATCAGACCCTGAATGCACCAGCTTTAGTAAATCAACCCCTAAGTCTCCTTTCTGTGTGCTGCTTCATTGCTCTGCTGTCAGAATGAATCACTTCTGACAAGTTTTCTTGACAGGAAGAGATAAACAGTGACAGGGGAGGGACCTCCAGCAGATTGACAACCTCAGCTCTGTTCCTGTGTGCAGGGGGGGGGGGTGTCTCTTCCATCCAATCAGCATTTAATGCTCTTATCACTAAGCTATGCAGAGTGTATTATCAGCTCTCCACTCCCTTTTTTGTTGAAACTCTCAGACAAGCGTTATAAAATTAGCAGAGGTTCAACCTATGTATGAGAATTTGTTTCATACCTGTGTTGTACCTGAGTCCTGTAACTTCACTGGGTATATGTAAGTGTTTACAACCACTTTAAATACTACATGTTGAATTATATAAATATTAAAAATGCACTGTCAGTTTTATATCTTTTATATGCCAATAGATTTTAAAAGGAACTAAACCTATCAATTTAACGATTTCAAAAAACAGTTCCACTGAAGGCATACTGAGAATGTCAGCTGTCACATTTGCTTGTGCTGTCAACCAAACTGTCAAACCAGTAAATGACTGGTGTCATAACAGATCACATGTGCAGCACCATGGCAGTTGCAGATCAAACAGAGACTAAGATGGCAGCTTTCTTGGCTGGAAAGGATAGGAAGGGTTTAGTTCCGCTTTAAATGAATGTTGCAGGTAGAACGATTACCACAGAGAAATACAGAAGATAATGAACTTTACCTATCAATAATGCAATATCCCCCATGAATTCTATTTTAGATCTGTAATCATACCGCTTTAAATCTTCAGGTTTTCCCCATCCGCGGATGAAAAACTTTGTTAGAAGCAGCCGTCTGTACAGTACATCTAGTTTACTCAAACCCATTTGGGTATGTCACACCTGGAAATAGAAACCCCATACAAATGTTACATAGTAAAGTGATATAATCTAAGATTCACAATAGTCTTTTCGCTCAAGCCGCTAATGTGTCTGCCCCATTTATAGTCACAAACACTGTAGTGGTTATGACAGCAGAAGGTAAATACATACATACCAACAGTGGTGTATTTAGGGTTTGTGTTACCCTAGACAACACAAAAGTTGCCCCACCCCCAACCAAAGAGAGCCTGACATTGACCAACAACACCCCTGCCCCCACCTGAGACAGACTTCCACTACCATCAACCCTATACACTGGCCACTCCCCTCCTAGCGAGAGAGAGAAAGACACTCACCTTCACAGATCTGCACATCCCCGGGAACAAGAGTCAAGCAGCCCGCAGCCTCTCTCAGATCCCATCTGGTCCCCAAGCCACATGTGTCCCTTCTTCCGCCCCTTCTTCCAGGGAGGCGGTGTTGCCCCCTTGAAAAATGCTGCCCTAGGCAAATGCCTTGTTTGCCTTGTGGTAAATACGCCCCTGCATACCAATATGTTTTCGGATATTGGATAGAACAATAAAACGTATATTGTCACATAAAATCCATAACCACAGTGCTTCTATGCAACACTATACAAGGCCAACGTACTTAATACCCACTGAATCCCAGGACATGCTGATATGCATATACTACTACTTGCTATTGAACAATAAGGCTGCCCATGATAGCAGTGGGGAAACAAGATGGTGCTGGAGGTAACCAATGATTGGCACTGCCAGGAAGTGTTGGCATTTTTTATACAAATGCCCTCGGATTCAGAGCTCTAACTTTGTCAGTAATGAACTAGGAGTGCTGCTACTGCTGTCTTATTTTGAAGGTACATTCTTCGGGGTGGCCATTCTTGTCCATGCTACACAACAACCACATGCATGTCAGGTATCCAAGAACTTGACAGGAACACGCCTATCCAAGGTCACTGACTCACCTAGTAGTGAAGGGAGATCTAGGATGACAGTTCCAGCGCTGCACCATCAAAAACAAGTCAGCAATAGCAGTTCTCCTATTTCTATTCTATTAGAAATAGGACTTTTGTACAAATGCAATGTATTTGTATCTGCACAGACCAGGGGAGAACTGACCATTTGAGCACTGCCCGGGGGCCCAGGGTCAGTAGGGTCCCCATGAAATGCACCTGGTACCTTTTATAGGCTTTTTCTGAGTGTGGGTAAGGACACAGGGGCCCCATGATCCCCTATTGCCCGGGGGTCCCATGAGTTGTCAGTCCGCCCCTGGCACAGACTCTTTACATTTAAAGTGGGAGGGGGAAGGGAAACATCAACACTACCTCTAGCTGCCATCAGCTTTATTTGTTGTTAAAGTGATAAGGGTCACTTTACTGTAACCCTTCAAATATCTGACTCAAGAAGACATTCTATCATTAACTCCCTAAGGAGCCAGGTGAATATAGCACTTGGTCCTGATAAACTTTTTCCCTCTAGCAGTGGCTGCTTTTGAAATGAAAGTGTATGCTGTGACCAAAGAACTCCTTTAGGCCCCTTGTACATGTTCAATAGTAGTAGTACATCCCTCCCAGCTCTTTAGTGCACTCATGAAGGACAGGAAGGCTGCAGCTGGACAGAGCTGAACACTGTACCGAATGGAACGGGCTTTTAGGGCTCTGTCTGTTGATAGTCGAGTTTGCAGGTCTTCTGCAAATCTATGGTCAAAATGTAAAATCATATGTATTTCCACAATGCTTTTCAATTACTAGCCTACTCCTATTATATAAGATCTATCATTAAAGTATTACTAAACCCAGGACCCTGCATTCACTCTATCTGATCTCCTACAGTACACACTACATCAAAATGCAATTATTTTAGTAAATATTAACTGCCAAATACATTTTCCCATCAGCAGTTAGAGCAGTCTTGTGACTTCTATCAGTGTTCAGCAGAGCACTGGTTAAAGCTTGTGGGAGGAGTTTTCTTTCTGCTCTAGGAGGATGTAGAACCCCTGACCTCTGTCTGCACAGTGCTGATTGGTTCTGTGCTGATCCCATGCACTCCCCACAAGGAATATTAAAAAAAAAACCAAAAAAGCAATACACACCAAACTGAGCATGTGCAGTGTCTCCACACGATATGTCTTATCAGGAGACAAAAGGGACACTGGAAGAAGGGGAGGATCAGAGAAGTCAGGATTAAGCAACATTTTTACACAATGCAGAGGATTAACCCCTAAGGTTCCACAGTGAGTATAACAAGTATGCTTCACTGCACATACAGACTGATTTTACTGTTGTGTACACTTTAAAGTGCAGCCAAAATAAAAAAACAAAAAACAAAACTCAGCACAAGGGATATAACTTACAGACAAATAGGAGGTGTCCCTTGTGATAATGCCTCTTATAGCGGAAATCCTCTTTCATCCATGATCAAGCCAAGCCCCCCACTGTTTAAATCTTCTAGTGCAGTGGGCATTAATACAACAAAGGGGCTGTCACAGGCACTCATCATGACAGCCTGATTATGCCCACCATTTTCATAGAAGTTGTACTACACCTATGAAAGGAGAGCACTTTATGAAAGGAGGGGGAGTGGCTATCATATACTCTTCCTCCATTCATAGATCCTGTTTTATTTATAAGAGCTGTAGTCTGGTTTCTATGAATAGAACAGCAAGGGAAAAAAGGACAGGCATAGCAGGGCTACCTCGATGACAGCCTGTGATGGCCCCTTAGTTCTATTAACCCCAGAAAATTGTGAGGGTTGGGGTACTGTGTGATATTTTAGTTTTATGAATGAACAATCCAATCGGCAGGGCTGTGTATGTGTACAAATAGCCACTGAGTGACACACAGAAAGTCGTAGTGCTTAGTGATCTGTCACTACTATTATGAACAATCAGTGCTGCTTGTTCATTCACAATAATAAAAGATCCCTTGCAGTTACAATTCTATATATTCTATTTACGGCTGCTTATAGGGCAAATATTTTACACAGAGCATCTCTGAGCGATCTTTTACTATTGTAAATGAACAATCAGCACAGACTAATCATTCATAATAGTGACAGATCACTCTGCTGAGAGAGTGGATGTGGCTGTGCTGGCTGTACATCACCCCAAGGGAAACACCCACAATTTGGGCTGCAAAATGGGGCAGGGCTACAGCTATAGGTGTATTTAGGGGACAACGTGGGGCCACCAATCAGAACAGGGCCAAGTGCTATATTTATTACATATACAAATTTGACATATGGGCAGTCGCCCTGGTTTACCCCCTCCCTCCTAGATTGTAAGCTCGTAAGAGTAGGGCCCTCTTACCCCTCGTACGCTGTCTGTCTTTGTTGTACTGTGCCATGTATTGTCCCCCCCTATTGTACAGCGCTGAGCAAACCCTTTGGCGCTATATAAACTCGTAGTAATAATAATAATAATAGTTTACCATCACCTCAGTATGAGACAATACACACAGACCTAAAACCATATAAATACGTCATATACGTCACTTCCGGTCATGCGCACTAGGTGGAACGCACGCTGACCTACAAGGAGGAAGCCATCTTCACATGCCATGAGGCAAGCTTAAGCAGCACAGGCGCCGAGAAGAGGTCGGAACCCGCGGTATGTCGGCAGATGTCAGCGGTGGTTCCTTGGCCTCTTTGGCCTTGTAAGGGCAGTACTTATGAAGGACATCTCTTCCTCTCCTTTTATCCATTGCGCAGGTGGTGAGTGGACTGTTACAGGACACTAGTTATATGGTCCTATATGATCGATATGACCTATATATCTCATATAGAGTGAAAGCTCTTCCAGTGACTTTCCACATATTGTCTGTTTCACTACAGGATGGGGACATCATGGTGCTTTTCATAGGAAACAGGATATACCACGTGTATCTCAACAGGCAGAAGATCTATTGGGATTTGTCTTGTTTTCCTTACAGAAAGTGGTGTGTAGTCCACATATAGTGGTGAAGAAACCATTTCAAGCAGTATTTTGCTATTTGCATCTATCCTTCCATCCTGGTAACAAATGGGGCTTATTCTCATTTAAGAGCCCTAGGAAACAGTCGCCTATATTACAGATGAATGGGCCCCAACCACATGTGCCGGCTTAGGAATGTACTGCATTTTATATATGACATTCATTTTTTGTCTCATATATAGGCCTAGAGGCATGTTTCTCTAATTGACGCATACTGTGCTTGCTGCATTGCATACATGTGATATTTTATATCTTATATATACTGCATTTTATATATAGACATTCATTTTTTGTTTTTAGGCCTAGAGGCATGTTTCTCTAATTGACGCATACTGTGCTTGCTGCATTGCATACATGTGATATTTTATATCTATAGTATAATTTTTTGAAACTCCCTGCCTGGAATATAACCGTTTTGGTAGTAGCACATGTCTACATATTTACAACATATTACATGGTATACCTATGGTATAATTTTTGCATACACCTCCTTTGGGAAGTGTTCACCTGTGCGCTAGTGCTACAAAGACTTTAGACTCTAGTAGTCACTGTCTTTGTTGCACATGTACCGTATTTGCCGGCGTATAAGACGACTGGGCGTATAAGACGACCCCCCTACTTTTCCTGCTAAAATTTAGTGTTTGAGCTATACTCGCCGTATAAGACTACCCCTCTTCCAATGCACACCAGTGGCAGGAATAGTGCCCCATCATTGGTATCAGTGGCAGGAATAGTGCCCCATCATTGGTATCAGTGGCAGGAATAGTGCCCCATCATTGGTATCAGTGGGAGGAATAGTGCCCCATCATTGGTATCAGTGGGAGGAATAGTGCCCCATCATTGGTATAGTGGGAGGAATAGTGCCCCATCATTGGTATCAGTGGGGGGAATAGTGCCCCAATCATTGGTGTCAGTGGGAGGAATGGTGTCCCATCATTGGTGTCAGTGGGAGGAATGGTGTCCCATCATTGGTGTCAGTGGGGGGTGGAATAGTGCCCCATCATTGGTGTCAGTGGGGGGGGGGAAATAGTGCCCCATCGTTGATGTCAGTGGGGGGGAGGAATAGTGCCCCATCGTTGGTGTCAGTGGGGGGGGAGGAATAGTGCCCCATCGTTGGTGTCAGTGGGGGGGAGGAATAGTGCCCCATCGTTGGTGTCAGTGGGGGGGGAGGAATAGTGCCCCAATCGTTGGTGTCAGTGGTGGGGGGAGGAATAGTGCCCCAACGTCGTGTCAGTGGGGGGGAGGAATAGTGCCCCATCGTGTGGTGGGAGGAATAGTGCCCCATCATTGGTATCAGTGGGAGGAATAGTGCTCCATCATTGGTATCAGTGACACCAATGATGGGGCACTATTCCTCCCACTGACACTTGCTGACCCTGTTCTCGTATGGTGCTGCTGCAGCCAGCATATGTGGTTGCAGCAGCACCTCTACACTGACCACTTACCTGCTGGTCCTGCATTCGATTTTCGCGGGGCCGCTCGGCTCCACCCCCTCGCCGGTGATTGGCCGCCTGTGTGCCTTTCCTGGGCTACAGTTCTGGCGGCCAATCACTGGTGAGGAGGCGGAGCCGAGCAGCCGCACGAACATCCAGTGGCCAAACTGAAGGCGCAGCCGCGCTTCCTGGACCGGATCGTCGTGGGACCGGAACCAGGTAAGAAACAGCCGCTGCCCACCCCTGTACTTAGTGTCCCTTCCATTGGGGGAAGGGGGGGGGGGGCGGCGGCGGCAACGCGCCGCCCCCCTAAAAAGTGTCAGTATGCCGTATACCGGCGTATAAGACGACCCCCGACTTTTGAGAAGATTTTCAAGGGGTAAAAAGTCGTCTTATACGCCGGCAAATACGGTATTTAGACCGGTCTTGGTGTCATTTTATATGGTTTTAGGTCTGTGTGTATTGTCTCATACTGAGGTGATGGTAAACCAGGGCGACTGCCCATATGTCAAATTTGTATATGTAATAAAGCATAATTTTTGGAAATTTTTCTGAGTATCACATTCTGTTCACTATGTAGCCACTTTTTTGTGAATCTCTTTTCACAACCTCCCCCTTTTTATGCATGTCTTTTTTGGCTACTGAATGGAGGCCATCTACTGGGTGATATGGTAATTTATTTTACAACCTCTAAATAACTATCTTTAACCAAGTGCTATATTTACCTGGTCTCAGAAGAATTAAGTAAAATGTAAAAAAAAAAAAAAAAAATTAACAATAGTTCTTCTTTAATCCGAATAATCTTGGCATTTGTAAATTCGCTACGTAAATATCCGCACACATTTACTTCCTTGAATTCTGTAACACGTAGTCATTATGACCTGTGAGTAGGAACTGGTGTGTCACACATTTCACAGAGCCTAACTTCTGAACTACAGAGGTGCTGAGAGGAGGAGTTTTAGGAGGCGGAGTCAGTACAGGAATCACAGACAGCAAGGTACCATGGGATATGTATTCCTTAAAAAATGAAAGTAAACAGCAGATGAGAAGCTGCAAACCATGCAGGGAACCCTGGAAGTTGTGGAAAGACATGACCAGCTGACATGCAGAATTCACAACATGAAAGGATATTTTTCCAGTAAGCTTACAGTATATTGGATTGTCGAATATAAACTATTGTCTGTATTGTTATTACAGTGCTGATGTTCTAAAGTGAAAGTGTCTGCTGTGACCATAGAACTCCTTTAAAATATATATTCAATGTACCATATTGTTTGCTCCATAAGACGCACTTTTTTCCCCCCAAAAAAATGGGGGGAAAATGTCTGTGCATCTTATGGAGCGAATATGGAGTGGCCGGTCCGGTATTCCCACCGTGTCAGAATACCGGGCCAGCCGCTTGGCTTTTCTCTGCAGCAGAGCCTTACCTGTTCCTCGGTCCAGCGCTGTATAGTCTTCTCTCCCGGAGCCAGCTTCTTTAGTGTGGGCACCCGGCTGTGACAGACGGGTGCCCACTGCGCATGCGCGAGAAATGCTGCACTTTATGAATGGTCCGGCAGTCTTCTGGGACCTCTCACATGTCCCAGAGGACGGGGAGGGAGGAAAAACTCTGCAGAAGTGGGAGCGGGTACCTGTCAAATTCGGGTACCTGCTCTCCCTCCCTCTCCAAAGGTCCGCAGTCTCCGGTCATCATCCCCTGTACTGGGTCCGCAGTCTCCGGTCATCCCCTGTACTGGGTCCGCAGTCTCCGGTCATCCCCTGTACTGGGTCCGCAGTCTCCGGTCATCCCCTGTACTGGGTCCGCAGTCTCCGGTCATCCCCTGTACTGGGTCCGCAGTCTCCGGTCATCTCCTGTACTGTGTCCGCAGTCTCTGGTCATCTCCTGACTGTGTCCGCAGTCTCTGGTCATCTCCTGTACTGTGTCCGCAGTCTCTGGTCATCCCCTGTACTGTGTCCGCAGTCTCCGGTCATCTCCTATACTTTGTGTGCAGTCTCTGGTCATTTCCTGTACTATGTCTGCAGTCCATTGGTTCAGAATATTTTTTTTCTTGTTTTCCTCCTCTAAAACCTAGGTGCGTCTTATGGTCAGGTGCATCTTATGGAGCAAAAAATATGGTAACTACTGGTGTGACAAACTATTATTAAAGGATGACTGAACTTTTAGAACTCTACATAAAAATACACAAAGCAATGACATACGTCATAAGATAAGGAGCATATTTATTGAAGTGATTGTAAAGCTTTGCATTTTTTTTTTTTTAAATAACAAACATGTCATACTTACCTGTTTTGTGTAATGGTTTAGCACACAGCAGCCTAGATGCCCCTCTTCTTGGGTCCTTCGCTGCCACTGTCCTCTCCTCCCACTGCAAGTGCCCCATAGCATGCCGCATGCTCGCTCTCAAGCCAGCTCTGTGTGTCCACTGACCCCGTGTCCCCGCTCCCTCCTCACTGGCTGTGACTGATAACAGCAGGAGTCAGTGGGTCTCATTGCTGTCTCTCTCTCCAGTAAAGAGAGAGATGAGAGAGCTGTTGTTCTTGTGCACAGCATGGGATTGAAGTCAGGCTCAGGTAAGTAAAAGGGGGGGGCGCTTTATTATTATATCGAACTAAGGGCTATTTCACACGGGCGGACTTTGTTAAGTAGATCCACCTGCTCAGCGGGGGATCTGTCCGCTGATCCCCACTGAGAAGGTGGATGACAGGCCCATGTCCACTCTGCGCAGCCGCTGTTCTCCATGGGGCAGTCGAATGTAAACAGACCTCCTGTCCATTTACATCCAACTGTCATCTGATCCGATCTCCTAGATGGATGGGGAGTGGATTCCCCATCTGTCTGTTTTAAGCAAATTGGATTGGATGCAGGTGAGAGTAAACGGACACATGTCGCTTTACATCCGCCTCCCCATAGAGAACAGTAGGTGGTCCGATCGGATCCTTCTGAAAAAAAAAAAAACAGACAATCGGTCCGCCCATGTGAAAGGGCCCTAAAGGAAAAACTTTTTTTGTTTCATTTTGGATAGAATAATGGAGTGTTTATAACACCTGTCAGGTTTATTTTTGTCATCTGCGGACCCATTACCCTCGGTTCACATCTGTGTGCGGGTGGTACTGCTGCGGGACCCGCACAAATGCCTGCAGCCGCACTACCCATACAGAGGAATGCAGGACCCACGGGCATGTGCCATTAATTCTAATGGCACGCCGTCTGCACTGGAAATCACAGCCGTACTGGGAACCTCGGTTTCCGCGCGGAGAACGAATTTCTGAAGTAGCGCAGGGACTTCTTACCTGCCTGTCCCGGGGCACAGGAGTCCATTTAAATGAATGGGCTTTCGTGCATCACGCAAATTGTGGCCCACATGACCGCACAAATGTGAACCAGGGCTTAGGGAGATTTCCCTTCATTCCCTGTCCCATAGCCAAAAACAGAAAATTCCTGCAAATCAAGCGAATTCCTTGGGGATCCCCAGGTCACCAGAACTAGTGTCCCCAATGGAAAATGTCCCCTCTATTACCTTTATGGGGACAGCCCAACATTTGTGATTTTCTCTCCCCTCTATCCAAAACTGAAAAAAAACCCCCAAAAAAATTTCCTTTGTGCTTTAAGCAGTGATTGTGACATTCAAACATTTACTGTAGGTAAATAAAAAAAACTTGTACCAGGACGATACACCTATAGTGAAGTTTTGGTGAATGTTACTGTTTCACTGCTTTAAACATGTAGCCCACAAATACAAATGTACATACAAAAGTAACAAAGGATGCTCACATCACAGAAAATTGCTGTATATTGTTTTTCTGCAGCATGTTCACCCAGTATATACCATTCCAGCATGCTGGCGTAACTGAGCCCTAACAACACTTCTTGGTTTTCTTGAATGTTGACACGTGACAGTAAACATGACTGCTCTGTTCTAAAATGCAACACTACAATATTGACATCTGTGACAATGTATCAGCTCCTCACTCAGCTATTTATGGTTGGCTGGGTGAAATCAGAGGACATCTATATGTAACAAATACTGCACGTTGTCTAGTGGTGTACACATTTACTACATAGACATGCAGGAAAGTCCAGCCCTTCACATTTCACCCACATTGTTATCTCCGCCCACCATACAGCCCTATCATCATTCCAGTGGAGTGCTGTGACATGTCATGTTATCAGGGCTTTGTAAAATGTGGACAGACCAGAGTCTGGGAATTAAAGCTGCCCATGCATAGATCAGGCCAACTGAGCTTTGTCCTTGTAAGCATTAGCCAGCCTCATATGCAATAGCTCTGGTTATCCACAGAGATGCAACAAATATTGGTCATTCATGTTGTTTAAAAGACAACAAAAATGGTCATTAAAGAGCTGCATATATGCACTGACGCAGCTCTTAGAGCTAGTTCATTGTCTCTCTGAAGAGTGATCCGATAAATTGCTTTTCAGCAGGTAATCTGCATTGACAGCTTAATATCTCTGAGGAATGTCAACAACAGCAAGAATGCCTAACATTCTCTCCACGCAGGCAGGGTATGAATATTTTAAATTCACAACAGATCTATTCTACCACACTTGTATAGGCTTTTTTTCCTCAAAATTATACTTACGCAGGTGGATGCAGCATCATCTGATGCTGTATCAGTCTCCCTACGGCTCGAAGTGTAAGAACTCAATGATCACATGACCGCTGATCTCTGAGCTCTCACAGGGGGGACTGACAACTCATGGGGCCCCCGGGCAATAGGGGATCATGGGGCCCCTGTGTCCTTGCCCAAACTCAAAAAAGCCTATGAAAAAGGTACCAGGGGCATCTCATGGGCCCCCTACTGACCCCGGGCAGTGCCCAAGTTTCCAAATGGTCAGTCCGCCCCTGGCTCTCACAGCCACTGGAGTGC